GTATGTTGGAAGAACATGTTATTTTTTCCGGGCCAATGACGGATGGAAGATGAAAAGCACTGAGTAATTATTCTAACAGATTGTAGACCTGCAGCTTTTGCAATTATTGGAAGCAGAACATTTCCTGAGGCATCAGATACTAAAACCATTCAAGCGTTGATGGATTTAATTAAGGAGTATTATGGCACAACCCTCCTCTAATTCTGAGACGCTTTTAATTTTACTCGACAGATCAAGAACAGGGAGAATCTGTGTTGGGATTTTTGACGTGGTTAAGGTGAATGGGAGGGGCATGTGGCATTTAACCCTCAGTGAGATGCTGAGAGACGGTCTGGTATGTGGGATCAATGATGTAACTGTGTACTAGCTGAGCTTCAAACAGGCACTACAACGAGCTTTATCATGAGAAATGCGGCAAGTGAAGCATGTGCAAGGGATTCTGATGAAAGTGGACACCCTCTCCAACCCACCTGACACTCTGGTTGCCATCCACTTTAACTCTCCCTTCCACTCCCCTGGTGACATGTCCATCCTGGGCCTCCTCCACTGTCAGAGCGAGGCCGAACATAAACTGGAGGAACAACACCTGATATTTCGCCTTGGAAGCTTGCAGCCCAATGGCCTCAACGTTGACTTCACCAGCTTCAAAATCCCTCCACCCCCAGCCTTATCCCATGTCCAGCCCTCCCCCTCCACCTCCTCCTCACCTCCCTGACCATCTTCCTACTCACCTATCCGCTCCACCCTTCTCACGGACCAATCACAATAACCCCCAACCTGCATCCACCTATAACCATCCCACCTACCCTTCCCCCTCCCTCGTCCTGACGAAAGGTTTCAGTGCCAAACGTTGACTTCCCTGCTCCTCGGAGACGGTCTGACCTGTTGTGCTTTTCCAGCCTCACACCAATGGGATGGCTTCCAGCATCTGCAGTCCTTGTTGTCTCCAAACCATGAACAGGTACGTTGTTTGAGAAGGCAGACATCAGGAGTATACTCATCACTCGGCACATGAAGCAATCTTCACTACAAATCATAAGAATCCCTACAGTGTGGAAATGGTGCCTTCAGGCCAACAAACACACTGACTGTCAGAGCATTCCACACAGACCCATCCCCCTGTAATCCACCTCATCTACACAGCCCTCTGAACATCATGGCCATTTCAGCATGGCCAATCCGCCCAGCCTGCATGTGGAAACTAGAGCACACCGGCAGGCACGCACACAGACACAGAGAGAATGTGCAAACTCCACACTGACACTGTGACCTGAGGGTGGAATCAAACCTGGGCCCCTGGCGCTGTGATGCAGCTTTAACCATTGTGTCACTGCGAGGCAGCAGCGTTAACCACTGTGTCGCTGTGAGGCAGCGTTAACCACTGTGTCTCTGTGAGGCAGCGTTAACCACTGTGTCTCTGTGAGGCAGCGTTAACTGCTGTGTCTCTGTGAGGCAGCGTTAACCACTGTGTCGCTGTGAGGCAGCGTTAACCACTGTGT